CCCCCCCGCTTTCTCGATGCTCTAGGACATGTCTGAACAAACTGGACACGCACTGTTCTTGTAGGAGAAAGCGCAGCCGGTGTTTGCTTAAAGAGCACAGTGGTTTGCCACCAGTCTCGGTGCCTTTGACAGTGAAGAAGGGCTTGTGTCTATGGATGGGGGAGCATCCCCCCCTGGGGTCTGTTTACCTGCTCTCCCGAGGGAGGAGGGTCAGTCCAGGTGACCAGTTTTAAGGTGGAGCCTGACTGAAGAAAGCGTATTTGAATGTTGCCCAATGTGTCAGGGAGGTGAGACTGGCCTCCTTTCCTTCCTGCCTTCCTCACTGTGGCTACGATGGAGCCAGAGTCAATCCAGATAGAGTTGGGGTGGGGGAGTCCGTCGGGCAGTGTGAAGGCAGAAATAAATTGGTCACAGAGACAGATGGCATTTAAATACTTGGAAAGCCTGGGAGGTGTGACACAGGCATGGAAATGTGAGAAGCTCCTGGGATGGGCGTGGCAGCGAGGCGCCAAGGGTCTTGAAAATATTGCTAATTTCACTCCGTAGCTGAGGCTGTCTCTGCTATCGCTCTGCCTGCTTCCAGAGCCTGTGGGATCTCGTGTGCACTTCAGGCATCTGGATTTTAGTCTCCCATACATAATTTGCTAAAGAAAATATTTAAGATTAGAAGAAGGGTTGCCAGGGCTAGACCTAGGGACAAGAAAAATTTCAAATTCAGGAAGAGTGGGGAAATGTTTTCACCAAAGAGCAAGGACTGTCAGAGATGTCTAAGGTGATATTAAAAAGACAAAGATGCCTAAATATGGAGGGTTTGCCATGGCTAAGCAAAGACAATTTCAACATCATAAAAATACTAATTATAGTCAATTGGAACAAGTTGATACTATAAAAAGAGTCATAATTCCATGATAATACTCAAAAGGAACAAATAATAGGAACTGTGCCAAAAAAGAGAGCACATGAGTTTCTAATAAAGTTTATGAAACGTTCTGTTAATTGTTCAATGCAACTAATGTGATTTCTCAAGGTTAGATTAACACCCAGGTTAACAATATAAATAAGAAACAGATGTAGGGAGGAAATGAAGCATGTTTAAAATATTTAATGTCTATGGTTTGATCATTTTAAATTAAAATATGTTGGCCGGGGGCTGGCCCGGTGGCGCAAGTGGTTAAGTGCACGCGCTCCGCTGCGGTGGTCCAGGGTTCGCTGGTTCGGATCCCGGGTGCACACCAATGCACCGCTTGTCAAGCCATGCTGTGGCGGCGTCCCATACAAAGCAGAGGAAGATGGGCATGAATGTTAGCCCAGGGCCAGTCTTCCTCAGCAAAAAGAGGAGGATTGGCAGATGTTAGCTCAGGGTCACACACACACAAAAAAATGTTGGCCATCCAGAATTAAAGAGACCTAGAAACCAAGGTCAAATCTTTCGGGGGCTCAATCCAAGTTGAAGAATAGAGAATGTAGACCTGCTTGGTTCACACGGGAAAGGATGGCCTGTCATGGATGGAGGCCTGGCAGAGGGGAGAGGAGGCCCATGGGCATTGCCTCAATTGTGACTCCCAATGCCATCTCCCAATGCTGCCATGGGCTTGACTGCCCAATGAGCCAAATCATTGTGCCTTGGGCAGAAATAGTCACAGAATTGTTTATACCCTTGAAAGATTAAAAAAATAATAAAAATGATATTTTGCATTGATACAACTTTTTTTTTTTTATCTTGACCACCTTGCTCTTGTTTATTGGATGGATATATACAACACTTCTATTCCAAAGACATTACTGAGGTAACATTTAGCAGCTCTTCTGTCTCAATGTACTGTACCAAAAATTATAAACATATTAAAATTTAATACAATGTTTTACCTTGAGGCTGAGTTCGGTAGGTAAAACTCAAACAAGAAAATACTTCAAAGTAAACTTGAAATAAATAGCTTTCCATAAATCATACACTACATACATGCTGTATCATTTTTCTTTTTTTGTCTTTTATTTTTTTATGATACAACTTCTTAATTCATACCGAAAAATTGAAAATTATGAGAAAGTTCCTTCCCACCTTGTCTATCATTCTCTTAAGAGTAATTATGATCAAACCTTTGAACACCACTGTAGATCCCAAGCCAGGACCGTGAAAAACTCTGAAATTCTCTCAGGCCCAGGCTCTCCCCATGTCCTCCCACTATGTGGAGAGGCTCAGGGAGGGCGAGCACAGGTGCTGGTCAGTGCTGGGGCCCAGGGCAGGCCACCCCAAAATATCCCACAGTGGTATATTGGTTATTTTGAATTACAGTTACTTGAGAAGCAAAAAGGGCATTCTGACCCTCCTGTCTCTGTCCCCCCAAAAGTAGGAAATACATCTCCCTGTGAGAGATGCTCCCCCTGCATCCTTATCACCAGAGCTAGGAATTCAGGGCCGAGAAGCCTGCATAAGCAAACCTTGCTAATTTACTACCTCAAGCCTAAACTCTGATTAAATTCCTCACTAATTACACACCTCAGATCTGTCGTTCCTCACAAATTTATTGTTTCTTTGTGTAAAAGGTATGTGTACCACCTGCTTTGCTCTCTCTCTGAGCCTTGTTTCTCTATGATCTCCAACCCATACATATTCACCTGGGGTTTTCTCCAGTTAATCTGGTCTTTGGTCAGTTTTATTGTTAGTCCAGCTATAAGAACACAGGAAGCACAGAAAGGGGATTTTCCCCACCCCAACATCAGCCAGTGAATGGGTCACAGCCCAGAGACACCCGGTGAAGCCCGCCTTCACGGGACCGTGTGGCACACCACTGTGGAAGAAGTCCAGATGGTTGCCTGATTATTGAATTGGAAGGTAATAACCAGACATATGCCCTTAGAACAATATGAATTCTTGTTTTCTAACAAAATTTGAGAGAATCATTCAATGATTATCCACTGATTACAATTAGCCAAAAGCCTAATGAAAAGACACAAATCTTCTAAATATCTGTGGCTGGTGGCAGAGGGGAAAAATAAAGTGAAGAACCCATGACTCAAACTAAGGGCATGGAGAAATATTACCTCGGGATTTGGGAAATAAAACTTATGACCCATCATCATCTGGAATTGGGAGGTTCTAGAATTTTCCTTTTCCAGTGTGGTCCCCATGGACCAGCTGCTCCTGACATGGTCGCTGTTGTTCAAAGCTGGAGACACAATCTGCTGTGTTTGGACCAGACTGCCGGTGTTCCAGGGCCCAAACCAAAGGCTGCTCTCTTTGGACAAGAAAGACAGATTTCTGGGACAAATGAGAGTCGGGCAAAATCTCGTTCTGTGTCGGCTTTGTTCTAAAGGACAGTTGTGCAATATTGGACCACCCCTATCTGTGGGAAAAGGTTGGATAATTCTAACTTTTGGTGCAGGAATCTGGTTAGTTTAGTTAAAGTAGTATATTTTCTGCCAGTACTTCTGTGAGAGCCACTGCACAGAAGGATGCAGAGACACCAATTAATGGTAGGTTAAAGGAAAATGGTGCACTTGGTAATGACAAAACATCCACACCATAGAAATACAGTGCATGAATTAATGATCCATCTGAGACCAGTGAATGGTGGTCTCCTGATGGGGACAGTGAAAAATGCTCTTGCCTGGATATTGTTGGATCATTACAGGATTAATCATCACTGTTGGGCTGCACAACCAGACCACCCCCCCAATACTTTTATTTTGGGTAAATAAAGGCAAAAATCAAGGGATACTATGCCTCAAGAAGTCTCTTACCTGCTTCAATCCGTTGATCAATCCATCAACCCAACCGTCCACCATTAATACATTTAGCAGTCGTTGCTTAACCATCTATTATGTGCCAGACACAGTTTTAGGTACTGGGGTCCAGTTAGAGAAGAAGATAGGAAGATCTCTTGCTGTCATAGAACTTAAATTCTAGTTGGGGAAGACAGACTAAAAACAAATAAACAAATGGTTGCAGAAATTTCAGAAGGAAATAGTCACACAGGGTGATGGAATGCAGAAAGATTCAAATGCATCCCCACAGGGCTAATTTAGTTTCAGTAATTGCGTAATAATTTTTCCTTTTTTCTCAAATAAAGGATATTAATACATTTATACCAAGGTTCCTGAATGAGTGTATAATCCCTTTTTTTCTACTGAGGACGGATTAATAATATGCGTAAATCCTTTTATTTGATGTTCTTTTCTTAGGCATCTTTCTGGCTCCTGGTTACAACGCCCCTTCTGAAATCTATTTAGGGAGAGATTTGTGTCTTAGTTTAAGGCTCTGATCTTGTCCAGTAAGATTATTGACATTAAACTCCAGCGAGGCTGTGAGTGAATTTCTTTATCAAGCTACAACTTCTGCCTCCTTAACTTTCTTTTATTTTTTTAGTTTAATTTTATTTATTTTTTCCCTCAAAGCCCCAGTAGATAGTTGTATGTCATAGCTGCACATCCTTCTAGTTGCTGTATGTGGGACGTGGCCTCAGCATGGCCGGAGAAGCGGTGCATCGGTGCGAGCCCGGGATCCAAACCCGGGCCGCCAGCAGCAGAGCGCAGGCACTCAACCGCTAAGCCATGGGGCCGGCCCTCTGCCTCCTTAACTTTCAATTGCCAGAGTGGAATGGCCCCCAAATTCCCAAATTTCAGCTAAGCAGTGGGCACACTCTTCTATTTGTCTGCCTCTAATGGGAACAACAGCTCAGGGCCCCACACCTGCTCAGAGTCTTGTAATTTTCGGATCCCCATGCAGAAGGCTGAAAGCAACACAAGTAATATTGAAATATTGCTTGGGCATTGCCTTTAACGAGGAAAAATGAATAGGTGAAATCCTTTAACCAACATCAGACTCTCCATGCCAGGACATTTCCGTCTCATTGTGAGCAAAAGAATCTAAGAGCAGTATGGCCAGAGATGAGTGGCAAACCCAATTTGCAGCAAATCTAAACTGTTCTAGAATCCACTATCTGTACCCCAAACCTTTGAAGAGTGACCCACATATTCTCCGTGTGTGTGTGACTATGTGGTGGCCTTTCCACATAATAGCAAGAAACACACTCTAGGAAACTAGCTCATCTATTCACTCTGGAAAAAATGCAGATTTCATCTGTGAAAAAGAAATGAGCATAGAAAACATAACCAAACGTTAAAAAGATTTAGGAGTTCCAGACAAAGTGACGAACCTGGGATATCATAGCAAATGTTTCCTTTCAAAAGAGTTCCCCCACCCAAAAAGGAGCAAACTTAAGAAAATCTTTAATTTATGTTCTCTCCAAGTTTCTAGAAGACAATGAAGTCATGCAAAGGGAAAACATTTGTTAATAGATATATTACTTTTAGAAGGAAAAAAAAAATCTGGAAAAGCCACAGAGGCAACAAAGAACAGATTGAGTATTATAGAAAACCAAATTAATGAATTAGAGGATGAGCTTGAGAAATTCTGCTAGAATGTGGAGAAGAGATGAATAGGATATGTAAAAAGACGAAAGACAAGGGAAGCAGGGACAGCAGATGCGGTATGCGTATGCGGAGGGGTAATATTTGATATTAAACTTCCTTATCTTTTACCCTCTTCTTCAGGCCCTGCCTGAGTTCTACATAAAGTGGAGGAGTAGTTGGTCCAGGAATGGAATCGGGGAGAAGCGGGGAGTGTCGGACGAGAGAGGTGAGCAGGGAAGCAGCAGAGCCGTATGAGGATGCATTATTTTGGTGATATCCAGAGATAGTTGATCAAGGCCCAAGATCTCCTAATTTCATCATACCAAAGTCACCGCTCAAGCATGGAGACAACCCTGAACACCCCCTAGAAGGTGGGGCATGCCATCAATACGTTCCAATTTAAATCCAATACATTCTGGTTGAATTGTTTAACTGTGGGAAATAAGACTGTTTGAAATATTAGAAAATGATAGAGGTCAACATTTATGCAGTTTTGGTTTGGGCAAGACCTTCTAAACATAATACCAATCAAGAAACCATAAAGGAAAACATATATAGATTTGCCCTCTTAAATTTCAAAAATATTTCCATATGTGAAAAATACCAAATAAGAAACTAAAAGGCCATGACTAGCTCCGAGAAACAACTTGAGAATTACATGCCAGTCAAAGGGTTAATGTTTTTTGTTTTTTTTTCCAACCTGTATCCAGCTTTATTAAAGATACTTTTCATAAACAATCATGGTATTTCGGGCAGGACATGGGCAGACAATCGTTAACAGTATACAACAACTTTCAAACTCCCTTCTTCAATGGACTACCAAAATCAGAAAGCCACTATAAAACCCAACGAAGTCTTCATCTGATGCTCTGAACGGGGAAAGTTGAGAGTGAGGGTTGACATTTCACATTTAGTATGTTGTTTAACAACTTTTCACAAGCCAACCCTGACTTTCAGGAAATGAAATGAAAATGGCAGAATTATCAATCTGAAGATCCACAATCTAAAAAAGGAACCGCTGCTCTTTTGAGGGATACCATCTCAATGGTGACATTGGAAGTCCAGATTGCCTGACATACTGGTAACCAATTTTTTTGGATCAAGTCTCAAGAGGTTTCTGGGTTTAAGGGAGTCAGGTCTATGCCGAAGGCGGAGAGGGTGAAGAGGACATAAAAACGAATTTTAGTTTTTCCACACCACCAGGCATTTGTGCCAAGGTGGCTCACGTGTGTCAACATTAAGACAACTCTCCTCCTGGGAACCAAGAGGAAGGTCTCTCAGAACTGGCAGGGAAAGATCTTTTCTCCCTCACGTCAATCCAGCTTTGGAGACATTCTATCAGTGACATATGCCCTTCCCCAAAAAACAACAAAGAAGTGTTCTGTGTGCTAACAACATAGCTTAAAAAAAAAGTAAAACAAAATTCTGCATTTTTATAAAACTTGATAAAAAATAGTATTTCAAACTGTACAGTCACCAGAAGTACACAGTTATCAAAAATGCACATACTTCACTTGGCATCTCCAGCACCTTCATCTTTCTGTGCCTGGTCTGTTTTGGCATCTCCGTTTTCTGCAGGGTTATTCCCATCCTTGCCAGCACCAGCTTTCCCGTTTTTCCCTTTGGGTACCTTCTCTCCCTTCTTTGCAGGGGCCTTTTTAGGCTTGGGCTCTGGCTTTGGAGGAGCAGGTTTAGCAGATAACCTTGCAGATCTTCTCTGTGGTTCGTCCTTCACCTTGGCTTTATCTCCTCTAGCATCCCCTTCAGCCTTTCTCTTGGGCATGGTGGCGACGGCGGCGGGACGTTGGCGCTGGACGCGGGGATGCAGCGGCGCGCGGGCTTTGGTCGTCCTGGGGGTCGCTCTCGCCTTCTCTTCTTCACACTGCTTCAAAGGGTTAATGTTTTTAACATATAAAAGTTTCTTACCTATTAAGAAGGAAAAATGGAATATCCCAAAAGGAAAATGGGCAAAGAACAGAAATAGTCACTTCATAATAAAAAGAAAATTGCCGATAAACGTGTTCATGTTCAACCACGCTACTCAAAGAAATGCAGATAAAATAGGCATGAGATGCTATCTTTTGCTGATCAACTTTGTAAAACCATGTGTGTGAGTGGTGCTTGTGTGTGTGTTGGTGTGTGTGTGTGTCTGAGAGAGAGAGAGAACCGTGTGTAGCAATGAAGATATGGAAACGCAACTCTCTCCAGGAGTGTGTTGGTGGAATTAATTTGTCACTCATTCCGAAGGACAATTTGATGTTTATAACAAAAGTCTTAAAATATGCATCACATAGCTAGTTGACGGAAAAATGCCTCTAATCTCCATACTATCCATGTTCTTACCACCTCTCTTTCCTGCCTCAGAAATTGACTGCAATTGCAGACACAGAGTAACTGTGGTAAAGACAGTTCAAGTCTCTCACCCTTCCTACCTTCTTTCTGACACTGTCTTACTCTTCATCTTCTACTTTCTTATTCGCCACAGCACAGTGACTTACCTAGGTCGTTCCAGAACCCTGTTTCATCAGTTTAATGGGACTTCATTTCATTAGGGACACTTGGCCTTTGTCAATCCCTGCTCCTCCGGGATGCTTTAGAAAGAACCGCTCCACTGGTTAAGTTCGCCAAGTTCCGGAGCCAAATTTAGAAGAAAGGATGGGAATCTCCTTAGAGTTTCCCTCTGTCCTCTCATTAAGTTAATTACTACCCCTGCTGTGCCTCACACTGGACAGCGTCCTCTTGTTCAGCTGAGATAATGATGTGTCCATGTCTGACCTTGGGTGGTCATTTCCTATTTAGGAAAATTGGAGACAGCCAGGCTTGGCTTCGGAGGCAGCCCATGAAAGTGCCAGTAGCTGGTTTCCTTTGAAGACCCAGACATGGACATTTTCCTGGCCTCCCAACTCACCATGGCTAAAAGAAAAGTGACCTACTTTGTCGGCTGTGAGAAAATAGTTTTGTGCATTTTGTACCAACTCATGTTGATAAGGGCCCTAAACAGAGAGCCTGTGGGAACGGGTGGAATGTGGGGACTCTCTCTCCCAGTTAAGGTCTGAGTGTGAGGATTCCAGCCAGGGGACAAAGGACACGGGACATGGGGTTTATGGGGAACGTTTCCCAGGGTGGGAACAGCCTCTGAGACAAGAGTCAACCAACATCATAGTTATATCTGATCTTTGGTGCTCAGAGTCCAAAAGCTTTTTGTACAAGGATCATTGTAAGACACACATATACACGGATAAATACTGTAAAATAATATTAGAATGAGTGTGATTCTATGGGTATGAATAGAGAAAAAATATTAGAAAAATTTTTGTAAAGTTCTCTGCCTTTTCTGGAGTGTGTTTCTTGATGATACAGAAAGATTCTGTACAAGACCCATGGCTATTAAATGGAAACGCCATCACCTCAGTCACATACACAAAAATGTGTCCATCTAGAAACTGGAACCCTTGTGCACTATTGGTGGGAATGTGAAATAGTGCAGCTGCTGTGGAAAACAGTGTGGTGGGTCCTCAAAAAATTAAAAACAGAATTACTGTGTGATCCAGCAATTCCACTTCTGGGTATATACACAAAAGAATTGAAAGCAGGGTCTTGAAGAGATATTTGTGCACCCATGTTCACAGCACCATTATTCACAATAGCTAAAAGTGGAAGCACCTCAAGTGTCCACTGATGGATGAACGGATAAGCAGAATGTGGTATATGTATACAGCGAAATATTACTCAGCCCTAAAAAGAAAGGAAATTCTGACATTTCGATGACAACATGGATGAACCCTGAGGACGTTGTGCTAAGTGAAATAAGCCAGTCACAAAATGACAAATACTGTGTGATTCTACTTACATGAGGTACCTAGAGTAGACAAATTCATGGATGCAGAAAGTAGAAGGGTGGTTACCAGGGGCTGGAAGGAGGGGTAAAAGGGGAGTTAATGTTTAATAGGTACAGAGTCTCAGCTTGGGAAGATGAAAAAGTCCTGGAGACGTATGGGGGTGATGATTGCACAACAATGTGAATGTACTTAGGGCCACTGAACTTAAAAAAGGCTGTGGGCGGGCCCCATGACTTAGCTGTTAAGTGCTCGTGCTCCGCTACTGGCACCCGGGTTCAGATCCAGGCGTGCACCGACGCACTGCTCGTCTGGCCATGCTGAGGCCGTGTCCCACATACAGCAACTAGAAGGATGTGCAACTATGACATACAGCTATCTACTGGGCCTTTGGGGAAAAAAAGGAGGAGGACTGGCAATAGATGTTAGCTCAGAGCCGGTCTTCCTCAGCAAAAAAAAAAAAAAAAAAGGCTAAGATGGTAAACATTATGTGTATTTTACCACAATTAAAAAAAAATGTGCAGTAAATACACCATAGCACTCAGGTGAGTTTTCTCCATGCGTGGCAAAATAGTCTCAAGTAGCAGAGCTAGGTTTTTTCCCACACATTGGACTTCCATCTGGTGATTTCACATTCATCCTGTAGATCTCAGCGGAAGTCCTCCTTGACTCCCAGACGAGGTCAGGCCTCCCGTGACACTTGCTTCTCCTTCTGGGCTGCGGTTCGTTAAGCACGTTCTCTGCCTCAGTCAATGTGCTAGATGAGTGTACTCATTTCACCATTTTCACCTGGAACTGTAACTCCTTGTTCAATGTTTTCTCTTCTGCTACAGCATGAATTCCATGATCCAGGACTAGCATCTCCTTCTTCTATATTGAGTCTCTGTGCCCAGTACAGAACTTGCATATGGTAGACACTCAATAAGTATTGGTCAAATAAGTACTCCTGGGAGTGTCAATAAAATGTTTACTTTTGCTTCTACCCCATAGATTTTAATACTTTCTTCTGGCACCTTGTGATTGGCAAAGCCTTCAATAACACCTACAGACAACATTGAGAGTAGCTGTTCTAAAACTGGAAGCTCTTAAAATTATTCATGGCAAATCCCATTTAGCCGCTCTTGGTACTGCCGGAAGCCCCAACATGCATCGCTAGTAGGTTCTGATGTTTTGTTTTGATTTTTGGTAAGGAAGATTGGCCGTGAGCTAACATCTGTGCCAGCTTTCCTCTCTTTTGTATGTGGGACGCCACCACAGCATGGCTTGATGAGTGGTGTGTAGGTCCACACCCAGGATCCAAACCCACAAACCCCAGGTCACCAAAGCGGAGCACCCGAACTTAATCACTATGCCCCTGGGCCGGCCCCAGTTCTGATGTTTTTAAGCATTGGCTCTGCTGTGTTTCTTCAGGCTTCCCAGGAGCTAAATAAGTAGAAAATGACCATACATGTCCTTCCAGATGTTTTCCTTCTCCCGGAAGAGGAAAGGCTCAAAGCTTGGATTGCATGACGGCTTAGGTAGGTTGTCTTGATTTACGTTGATCCCCAGAGGGTGCCATGAAGTCTAGGGTTCACCACGGGTCTGTGGGTCAACCTGTGTTTCTTCCTATGCATTTCTTTTACTTTACTTTTGTAGCTGCTCTATCTGATCTCATTCTGAAGACAGCTTACTCTCATAGCCACGGACTAGCCCTGCAGTGCATCAAACATTTAAGGAAGTTTATCTTATTGTAGCTTTAACCCCAGAATCAGCTGTCAGAATATTTATTAGTTTAGTTAATCACAGCTGGCCATTTAAAACCTTGCTGGCTAATGCTCGCTGTTTTACAATTTCTGAGGTTAGTGAGAAACATTCTCCCCTCTTATTTAATCTCATTGACGTGGCTAGGTTGCAACATATGCAAGTGAGTGTTCCTTTGCATTCTAAATAGGACAACTTTTGTTTTTTAAATGTATGTCAAAGAAAAAAGATATATCATTCGAAGTCACATTTTCAAGTAGTTATTACCAGATTTTTATCATCATCATCTGGTTTGAAAGAATAAAAACAAATAGTCCATTTAATCCAACTGCTTTCCAATTTTTACGGATTATTGGGTCAACTGAATTAACATTGTTTGCTAACATGTCAAAAGAGCTTGAATCTTCAATAACCAAAGAAACTTCAGGTACACCCATGTGTTTCTTTTTCCAGATAAACATTTATTAAGTTGCTATAGTTTATTTGCTTTCGTAGAATAGGAACTTGCAAGATCTTTCCTTGGCTGCTAACTGGCTTGATTAGTAATTAAATTGTATCTTATCCTGACTAGGAAAGTACATTTTCCTTTAACGAAATGGAATGGTAGTTATTTGCTACAATTACTGGATCAAATACAGTCAAGAAAGACTTGGAATTACGTATAAAAACAATTACACATAAGCTACAAAGTGTATAACCTGAAAAATAGTGCTTCGGGGATTTAAAACCCCAAGGGATGAATTACAACAAAAAGATAAATTTTTTAAATCATAGAGATATTGAATTAAAAACCAAATCTTTTTCTTTTAAGTGTGTTATATTTTTCTGAGCATAAATAAATGATGCACAGGAAGACATCCAATTCTGGCTGTCTGGAATAGAGAAATAGAAAAAGAACCACAAGATAAACCCAAAGTAAGAAAAATGGAGAGAAAGATAAGAGCAGAAAATAATGAAATATAAAACAGAGATGAAGAGAAAGTAGAGATGCATACACACACACACATGTGTGTATGCGTCTGTGTGTGTGTGTATTTGTGACAAATATTAAAAGGAAGGAAATGAGATAAACACAATCTGGAATAGTTGTTACCCTTGGTGAGATGGAGGCTGGACCAGGGATGTTTTAAGGAAGGAAATCTTTATTGGTGACCCATGTAATACACATGTGCTTTCGTATGCATCAAATATTCTCAAACAAATATTTTTTAATAAATACATGCATTACAGAAAATTGGGGAAATGCCAAAATCATGAAGAAGAAAACTAAAAATTACCCCTACTTTCAATCTTAACTCTATTCTGCT